TTTAAATCCCACAGACCGCTATTAGGATTTTGTGAATGCTAAATAGATTTATTTAAAAAATTGTGAGATTTAAGAACGCAATTAATGCATCTTAAAACATAACTTAACGGGATAAGGGAGTATATTCCACATTTTTCTGGGGACCAGCGAAATTTTCTCGTGGACCACGGACCACAACTTTGGCAACCTCTGTTCTATAGAACATAAACCAAAAAAAAGGATAAAACATTAATTTTTATGTTATGTACTGGCAAAAGGGAAATGAAGTTTAGGTATTAGAGCTTTTTTTATAGTAAAAAGTCGAAATAATTGTTGTTAAAATTAAACAAGCATTTTAATAAAATACTTTTCAACATTTATTGCGATAAGAGGACACCTACCAAATGGTTACAAGAGAAAGAAACATTAGGTACTTTTAACAACTTCTTTACTATAATAATTATTGTATTAAATAAAAAAAACCTAGTGTCGATTACAAGTGCACAATAAAGCAGAAGAAAAGCTTGGATGAGAATGATTTATTGGTGCAGAGACAGAGATCTGAGTTATGAAAGTTTGCAGTGTATTAAATTGTATTATACTCACTACTGTACTCACTAATCACAAACACAATAATCATCTCTTTAGATTATTTATATGGTAGAAAACGAATTATTTTTTGAGTCTAAAATACTCTAACCAAACTTAAGTCTTTTTTTTTTATTTTGAAAATTCAACCCTTTTTAAAGATTATTAAGTTTTGAAGCTATTTTTCAATTCCTACTATTAGCTCACACTCTCTATATATTTACTTATTTATTTAGCTTGGTGGAATTTTCAATCGTTAATAAAATACATTTTAAAGGGCTCAATTGAGCTAAAATTTTAGAAACATGATTTTATTTCGGATGACAATACAATAATTTAATTATAATTAATACAAATTTTAATTGATGAAAACTAATTATTTAAAGAATTACAAATACAGCCACTTTGGCATCATTTTTGGCGACTTGTGTCAAAACTTGAAAAGGTTTTTTTCTCACGTTTTAAAGCATTCAGTTGAACTGAAATTTTATATACATGATTGTTTTGGATGACAATACGATACTTTAATGATAATTAATAAAAATTAATTTCCACTTAATGTTGTGATTCTTTCATAAGGGTATATATATATTTATATTAATTGTATCTATTTAATAAAAAGTAGCTAAAATAAATTTTTTCTTTGTTGATCTAAGTAGGAATTAACTTTAAAAAAAATTTTTGCATTAGTTGTTTAAATTATTTTTCTCCTAATCTTCATACCGTAGAACATTTTTCCCGCGTAGTGTTGTGGTTCCGACAGATAATTATACATATTTTCCCCACCATGAAACCACAATCCACCCTATTATATATTTGCTTTTTCTTTCAATACATATTAAATTGTGCAATAGTCTAAATATTTCACATTAAAATATTTTATAAAACTGTATTTGTGTGTAATTTGTCGTGGGTGTGAGAGGGTCCGAGGAAGAAGCAGACATGATCATAAGAACAACTACTGCTATTCCATCTTTAGAACCTTTTGAAATACATTTTTATAACTTAACTCGGAGAGTAATAAGAAATCCTAACCCGTAATCGGATAACTAGATAATCGAAAGTACTTATCTGCATTAAAGCTCATGGTTATGACCCTTCTTGAAGCCCGATAGCATGATCAGCTCCAAGGTTGGTTACTTAACCACTTCCTGGTAGATTCTCCATCGACTATTAATCTCAAAATGTGCGACCACCAGTCGCTGTGTTCACCTATTCCAATGCTTAGATTTCCCACTTAACGATCAACGATTGTCCATTAACTCACGTACTCAATGACAAGCGCTTAAATAGTAGTTACATTTGCATAAAATGAAGTCATCGCTTCGGAAAGCGGTTTTAAAACTAAAATCACACTTAAAGAATATTTTCCCCAGGTGTGTGTGTGTGTGCGCGCATAAAATATTTCATAACGTTTATGTTAAGAGTGTATCGTAGTTTTATGTAGAAAAAAAGTTATCATCAATCGGAACTTACCTATGAGGAAAGGATTTTCTGTAATATGGAGATGAATTTTGGAAAAAAAATGGGAAAAATACTTAATTTTTGTTGCGTGATGTTAGACTCAAAATCATTATTTTTTTACAATTTAGATAATCAAAAGCGATGCTTATTGATAAATGAGTAGGAAATAGTGAATAGTACAATGTATATTGCATCATTTCATAACCTCAGCTCTCTCTCCCAGCATTGTCGAATTAGTCTGATCCAAGTTTTTTTTCCTTCTTACGCTTTACCGAGCCATTTTAATTTCTCGAAAGTAGATTTTTTAAAAAATATATATAAAAAAATGGATGCTTTGCATATATGAAATCGCATCTCTCACTCGAACACCGTTTAACCGATCTCTATGAAAATTAGCATGTATATGCATTTTTTTTGGGAAGAAGGTGTTCGTGCTATCTGCTTTGTAGCAGCTTACCACCAGGTAGCGCTACAGCATATCAACTTCTGCACCATTCAATCAATCGCCAAGTTGCCAACATGTCACCAAAAATGATGTCAACTTGGCTCTATTGCCAACCTTGCGCTATGTTTCTATTGGATCGCCATTATAATGTAAGGAACGGCGCACTGCTTGCAAATATTACAAATTCAACATAAAATAAATGCTACAAAAAGTAATATTAATGTATTACACATCCAGATATAAATAATTCACACTTTTTTAAGAGTTCATTACACAAAATGTGTAACAATGTGTTATTTTTGCTGAACAGAGATCAGCTTAGGGAGGTGTTTTCAAAAATCGACCCACAAAAGAAAGTTACGGGGTGTTATAAATAAAAAAATCCTTTTTGTCAGCTATTAGATCTGCAGGTTTAAAATTCAACAAATAATGGTTTTTTTTTTGTTCAACTGAGATATGCAAAAAGCTTTTTTTTTCATTTCACGTAAAATTAACTCATTAAAAACTTCTTTATCCTTCAATCTGTATTGTTTAATTTTTTAATTCACCCGAAGAACGGATATACCAGCTAGTTTAATACTAAAGAAACTGTTAAATGCCCTGATGTTTCTTCCCTCGTTATTATTTAGTATATGTACTCTCATCGCTATAAATGTTGAAAAAATGAATGTTTAAAATGAGAGAGAATGTTTCATTTTAGCAGTTATTACTTTGACTTTTTACCATAAAAAACCTTGAATACCTAATTTTGCTTCTTGTGGCAGAACTTAATATAAAAATAATTTTTTTATTTTATTTTTTGCTTCATCTAACATTTTCCCCTCATAGGTAGGTTTTGAAATTATGGGAAAAAAATTTGAACCCCACCCCAGTATGTACATTAATACATTGAAAATGTTCTGTCCTTGTGGTTCAAAACATTTTGGCTCTTTTTATGTAGTTATTAAGTGATCATGTACAAACGTAATCTCATAATTTTAGAATGATATTAATTAATCAATATTAGAAACCTAATTAATTTTTTTAATAATTATATATTCTCCCCTTTTGTTTTTGATTATTTAAAATAAAAACATTAACTAATTCGCAAGTGTTATTAGTCTAGGGATTCTTTCTTAACTATGCACAGTCATGTAATATTTTTAACAAAATATTTGAATCAAAAGTAGAACCTTACCTGTTTTCCATTGTGTTACACAACTGCACAATTTTTTTTTTTTATTTTACTTTAAAGTCTTGCTACTATGGATTCTGTTTTTTCCCATGAATAATTTTTTATACTTTTCATTCAAGGAACATTATAATTTGATCTATAGAAACAGAAAAAAAAAACAAATTATGATAGTAAATTTCCAAACACATTACTTAGCTTTATAAATTGAGCTAACTGTCTTCAAATTTGTTCAAATATTTTATGTATTCCCTTATAAAAAAAAGATAAAATAATATTATTAATAGGACAATTGACACCTTCATTTTTTTTTCTTTTAAATATAACTTACAAATCTTCATTTTCATTTATCTCAAACATAATGGGTTTCTATGAACAATCTCAACCGAGTTTCATCCCTAAAACCAATCAAATCTCAATCCACGATTTCCGTACTGTTAAAGTATAACGGAATGTATATCAAAGTCTTAAATAAATTATAAACCATCCTTATCTTATCTGAGCACAAAACCACCGACCGTGAAACCTAGTGACAAGTTCCTAATATATCACTGTCCGAGAGAGAGAGAGACTTGGTTGGTGAAACTTGGTAACGCCCTTGATCGTCTGGTGGGACAACGGTTTGGTATCTTCTTAACCACGTTTTTCTCTATTCTGTCAATAGTTTTTCTACCTTCCCAGATATTTTTATACACACTCAGGGGTTGGGGAAAAGGAAATCACCTAATTTAGACATGTTCCTGAAATGGACTTTTCCTGTTTTCCCTTTCAACACTCGGATGGAAGAATTAAACGGCTCCACTGTGAAGTACACAGACAGAGAGGGAAAAAAATTACTTTATAAGATGTTAATCATTGCTTTTTTTCTCTCTCGTTTTCTAAACGTATACCATTTGGTTGTCGTTTTTTTTTAATTAAGTGTTGTTAAAAAAAATTTCCTTCTTTTTTTAAATAAAAGTAAAAGAATCTCATTTTATAATACAACAGGAATTTTACTAAAGTACCGTAATGAAAGAAAAAAAGGAAATTAAAGTATTCTCTTGTATAATAATAAAACAAGTAATATAAAAAAAATTAAGTCAATTTTCCTACTTATAGGTCAACAAAGAAAAATTTTATTTTAGTTACTTTATATTAAATAGTTACAGTTAATATAAATATGTATATACATATGACAGAATCACAATATTAAGTGACAAAATGGAAAGCGATTTGCCTTGCAATTTTCCATTTTCCTTTCTATATAGGGTGTTGAACTATTATTTTTGTTTGTTACTATTTATTAATTAATTAAGTTTAATTATTCCAATAAAATAGTATAGTAAAATGAAATTACATTCTCGGAAATTAGGCCATTCCTGGAGGCATTCGAACCCACGACTTTGGGATTTGAAGTTCAACGTGCTATCCATTGCACTAATAGGACAGATACAACGAGTGATTTTTCTTTTTATATATGGTGTTCGACTATTAATTTGTTTCAATTTATTCATTTTTTAATTTAATTAATGAATTAATATTTGAAAAACTGTATTAACATCAAGTGTCAGCCATTACAAGTTTTAAAAAATGTATTTGTACTTGAAAAGATGAATAAAAAATATTTTATTAACGATTGAAAAGTTGAACAAGATAAAAGTGTGGACTCGAATAGTAGGAATTGAATAATAAGCTTTTTATGAGCATGTTAAAATGAATTAGAGGAAAGTAGAAGAATAACGACGATGGAATAATTGTTAAGAATCATTAATACGAAAAATTATGTAGCATAACAATAACTATATTAAATAAACTAATAGTAAAATGTGTAGAGTAATAAGGAGAAATTATTAATTTTTCTTTGTGAGAAGTAATTAACTGAAGTACTTCATTTTTAAGTACCTATTTCCTTAATTCTTGTTTCAAATTATTTGCATAAAACTTTATTCTATTATTTCATTTTATTTTTTTCGCTTAATTTATCTTACATTTTTACACGCCATATTATTTATATATTTGTGCTTATAACATTGGTATTGATTATTTATATTAACAATGCATTAATATGTTCTAAAGTCATTTATTCGAGAAATTACCCAAAGCTTTAGAAAAAAATAGTATATTTCGAACCAATGGCGTAGCTGGTTTTGAGGGGGCCTGTATCAAAATTCCTTTGTGGCCCTTTTTTTAGGTATGAGAACCCTGTTAGTGAGACTGTAGTTACACATGTTGGAGCCCCTGTAGCTTGGGACCTCCGTATCATTGATACGTCTGATACGATGATGGTTTCGCCCTGCTTCTAACACTATAACCCTTTAAGTTCAGAAGGAATGTCATTTCTTTTAAATAAACAGTATTTCTATCCATGTAGAAGTTTTTCTTTTCTATGCTCATCTTTTTAAAATTTATTTTTAAAACTCTCATTTTTACACATGGCGTATAACACGCACCCATAAATTTCGATGTCATTTTTTGCGTTAAAAATGCGCGTTATTCGCCGTATTTTACGGTATATACAATAAAAAAAATTAATACTATTTTTATATATATTATTACTATTATTTTATTACAATAATACAAATACACTACTGGCCATCAAAATTGCAACACCAGGAAGAAATGCAGGTAACATAATTGTATTTATTGGACAAAAATTCAATTATATTTACACTGGAAATAATTTACCGGTATAAATATAATTGGATTATATATAATTAAACCAATAACCAGTATAAATATAATTAAACCAATAACCAGTATAAATATAATTAAACCAATAACCAGTATAAATATAATTAAACCAATTATATTTAAACTGAAAATTAAATTTATATTTACACTAGAAATAACAAGTGATTAAATTTTCAAGAAATTTGGGTGCTTAGATCCTGAGAACTTAGTACCCAGAACAACCCCCTCTGGTAGTAATAACAGCAATTCTACGCCTGGGCATTGAATCAGAGATTGGATGGCATGTACAGGTACAGATGCCCATGCAGTTTCAACACAATGCCACCGTTCATGAACCGTAGTGACTGGTGTATGGTGACGAGCCAGCCACTCGGCAACCATGGACCAGACGTTTTCTATTGGTGAGAGATCTGGTGAACGTGTAGGCAAGGGAAACAGCCGAGCATTTTCCGTATCAAGGAAGGTTTGTACAATACCGGTAACATGCGGTCGTGCATTATCCTGCTGAAACGTAGGATTTCGCAAGGCTTGAATAAAGGACAGAGCCACGGGTTGTAACACACAGAAATGTAACATGCACTATTCAAAGTGCTGTCAATACGAACAAGAGGGGACCGAGACCTGTATCCATACAATCCCGCCAAGTTTTGAGCCAGTATGACGATGGCGAATGCACTTTGCTAATGTGCGTTCACCACGATGCCATCAAACACGGATGCGATCATCTTGGAGCTTCTTGGAGCTGTAAACAGAACCTGGATTCATCTGAAAAAATGACGCCATTCCTGCGCCCAGGTTCGTCGTTGATCACACTGTCGAAGACGCTTCTATCCGTAATGCAGTGTCAAAGGTAACCGCAGCCATGGTCTCCGAGCTGAGAGTCCATGCTGCTGCAAACGTCGTTGAACTGTTCGTGCAGACACTTGTTGTCTTGCAAACGACTCGTATTTTTGACTCAGAGTTCGTAACATGGCTGTACAATCCATTAAGGTCATGTGGATAATATGCCTGTTTTCTTAGCTGCTAGGGATAGGGGGCCGTTGAGATCCAGACCGACGTTCGGTACTACCGTCCTGAACCCATCAATTCCATATTCTGCTAACAGCCATTGGATCTCGACCGACGCGAGCAGCAATACTGTGATACGATAAACCGCAATCCCGGTAAACGACAATTCGACCTTTATCAAAGTCAGAAACGTGCTGTTATGCATTTCTGCTTCTTACTCGAGGTATCACAACAAGTTTTCACCAGGCAACAACGTTCAAATGCAATTTGTGTATGAGAAACCGGCTGAACAATTTCCTCATTTAAGCACATCGTAGACGCCGCTACCGGTGCCTGTTTTGTCTGAATGCGCTGAAAAGCTAATCATTTGCATATCACACCTCCTGCCTGTCGTTTAAATTTTACGTCTGTAGCATGTTGCCTTCTTGGTGTAGCAATTTTAATGGTCAGTAGTATAATATTAAAACTTCATTATAGAAAATGAGAAGTGTTATTTTCTAAGTTGTCAAAATAATGACAAATAGATAATTCAAAAAAAAAGTTCAAGCTAATTAAACTGTTGATCCATGACATGATAATACTATCCTTTAAATGAATTTTGGATTTGAAGGATATGTTTATGCTATATTGTTTTTCTTAGTTCCGCTTTTCAAAGATTTAATAGTTCTATATTTGAAATGTTAAGACTCTTTACAACGGATTCTTGTAATTTATAAATTAACTTAATAAACAAAATATGCAATCAACTTTCAACAAAAAATATCACCAGTAAAAGAAGGAAGGAGACAAAAATTGATTGATGCGCTCTCTCTTTCTTTAACTTTGAATCAAAATTTCAGTTTATTTATGAGTGTTATCATAACCTTTTTTGTCGATTACAAAAATTTTTGTTAGAATAAATGTGAAGAATATGCAAATATTAAAACATATAACTACTAATACTACACTGGTGTGCAAAACTTAAGCAACAATGTAAAAATTAAGCAGATAACCATGAAATTGCAGAAAGGGAGGTCTGGAGATCAGTACAGTGAACACATAAGTCAGTAGAAACGTCACGCTTATGCAAATATCAGGAACGAAACGTCAGAAGCGACGTGAGCGTACGCAAAACACGTGATGTCGGCGCGTGCTGCTCAACAGTAAAATAAAATGAAGGACGCAGACGCAATTCAACATATTTGCTGCAAGTGCCAGTGAGTCAGTTCGTGAAATATGGCTAGAAGAAATCACCTGGACGACTTCACATGTGGAAGAATGATCGGAAAGCTGGAGGAGGGTCGTACCGTCACCAGTGTAGCTGCAAAGTTCGGAATCAACAAAAGTGTCGTTGCGCGCGCTTGGAAAGCGTTCCAAACCACAGGTACAGCTGTTAGAAAGGTTGGTGGTGGCCGCCCGAGGACGACAACTGCAGGGGATGACCGATATATCATCTTGCAGGCGAAAAGAGGCCGACGGCAATCAGCAAGCGTCATTGCTTAGCAACTCTCTACAGCAACGGGGTGACAAGTGTAGCGGTTTACTGTGGCCAGACGCCTTCACAAAGGGGGCCTATTCGCCCGCCGTCCTGAACGCTGCCTCCCGTTGAAAGTTGACCACCGACGCCACCGTTTACATTGGTGCAGAGAGCACAAAAACTGGACAACTGTCATTGGAGTCGTGTCCTCTTTACGGATGAGAGTTGGTTCAGTACCAGAAGCGATTCTCAAGGCGTTTTGATTTGGAGAGAGATCGGGACACGGTTTTATACCAGTAACATCAAGAAAAAGATACCATTACGGTGGTCCTGGAGTTCTTGTCTGGGGAGGCATTATGCTGAACGGGCGAACTGAGCTCCACATTTTCGATAGAGGGTCTGTAATCGGGGATCGCTATTGTGAGGAGGTACTTCTTCCCCATGTGCGTCTGTTCCGAGGTGCCATTGGCCCAGACTTCATTTTTATGGAGGACAATGCAAGGCCACATCAGACTCTTGCTGTTGAGGAGCTGCTAGAAAGAGAAGATATCACTCGAATGGATTGGCCAGCGTACTCCCCAGATTTAAATCCCATCGAACATGTGTGGGATGGTTTGGGGAGACGTATTGCAGCACGCTTACATCATCCGGAGAACACCCAACAACTCAAACAGATGTTGATTGAAGAATGGACACTCCTACCGCAAGAAATGTTGCACCAGCTGGTTCTGAGTATGCGGAGACGGTGCGAAGCAACCATTGCAGTCAGGGGAGGGCATATACCATATTAAGGAACATCTGCTTGTTGTTCTTCCTGTTGGATAGACCATCATGAATCACGATACTATGCGTTCAATAAAGCTTGTTTTTGTTTGATTCCATACCGTATGCATTGTATTCCTTTTTCAGCGCCGATGCTTTCGTCATTCTTTACGTACATAATACTCTCCCTCATTTCTGAATTTCATGTCTCTCAGATGATTTTTCGTGAAGTTATGGCAATAAACCCGCCAGTTGCTTAAGTTTTGCACACCAGTGTAGAAACAGTAAGTATATAATTGTTTCAGTGACTCTATGTCAAAAAAATTGGTGATTCTTGAAAGGAATGAATCAACAATAATAATACACAAAAAGTGGATAACAGTCTCATTAACCTGCACCAGCTTAAATTATACATTAAGATTACAATTACATAGATTTATGTTATACATATATTTCTTTCACATATGAACAGGATAATAAATTAAAATATTTATACAATAATTATGTTTGTAGAATTTAATATAT